CGATGTTGCAATACTGTATTGATTCGGTTTATGTAAACACAATTATCTCGTTATATCCAATTTACTGTAGTTTAAGTGAGTGACACACCATGTGGGCCCTTAAATAGCTTCCATAAAAAACGCATAGCCTCATTACGACATCACGATAAGATTTCACATTAAAAATCTGATCGCCATTTCCTAGAAACATCCTAAATCACAACATTACAAACATCTTTTTTATCGATTATTTTTGTATACTGGTAATGTCTTTGCACATCAATACTGCAGTTAAAAACATATTTGTTATATATGACCCGCGAAATAAAAATAAAATGGACGCGTGAAGTTATTTTGATAAAAGGTTGACATTTCTTGATATTGATCATATTTTTTTTTATATACAATGTAATTATATTTTTACATGTGGTTAAGGATAATCGCTTTTTTTTTATATATATATTTCAATACAACGAATGAAACAGGCGTTATCCGGAGCCTACGAGGAAGATTTTCTCAAACGGCGTCGTAGAAATATAAATCTTCCGGCTTGATCAGTGTCAAGTTGATAGTCAAGATATTAAATTTGGACATAAACAAGTAATCTATGAAGTGTTCATTGTTTGGTAATTCAGCACTTCAACGTATTTTCACATAGTGACGCAACTCGTCAACATACTTCCACATAGTGACACAACACGTCAACATATTTTAACGTAGAGACACAACACGTCAACATATACTCACATAGTGACATAACACGTCAACATATTTTCACATACAATGTAGTGACGCAACTCGTTAACACATTTTCACATATTTACATAACACGTCAACATATTTTTGAAATGGTGTTGTTATTCTCACAATATGTTTTTGTAACTTTGTATTAATATGTTTATGACGGACTTTTCTCTTACGCGGATCACTTTTGTGTGGACACTATTTCCGGTTTTGGACGTCACCTGGCGCGATCAAATGTTCTTTTTTGAGACAATAGGTTCCCAAGTGCTGGGAAATGGGAAATTCCGTTCTTAAGTTCTTCTTAAGTCGTTCTCAACTTCTTATCATACTGACAACCAATGATAATGAATTTATCATTCTACCGGTAGGTGGTATTAAGTAGTATATAGATGATAAATGTCCCTGTAAACAAAAGACTCCGACCAAAACCCCAATTCTACAGTGCCCTCACATCAGTCCTCTACTACAACATGCAGTGGGACCAATGCCAGACGTGATGTAATACCAAGTGAGGCGTTACACACGTGATGTAATACCAAGTGAGGCGTTACAGACGTGATGTAATACCAAGTGAGGCGTTACAGACGTGATGTAATACCAAGTGAGGCGTTACAGACGTAATGTAATACCAAGTGAGGCGTTACACACGTTATGTAATACCAAGTGAGGCGTTACAGACGTGATGTAATACCAAGTGAGGCGTTACACACGTTATGTAATACCAAGTGAGGCGTTACAGACGTGATGTAATACCAAGTGAGGCGTTACAGACGTTATGTAATACCAAGTGAGGTGTTACAGACGTTATGTAATACCAAGTGAGGCGTTACAAACGAACAGGTTGGTTGGTTGTACAGGATTTAACGTCCCGTTCTCCTTCTCTTTGACAGAATGCGTTAGATAGGATAAGTTGGTTTCATTCTACAGAGTTGACTTGAAATACGCCAAAATCATAACTGAAATAAGCCTTCTGGTTGCCATGGTGGCGCGGAAAGGTTAATGATCACTTAATTGTACATGCTCCACCCCTGATTAATATTCATGAGAAAAAGTGGCCCTTATTTCTCCATACGACATACACACAAACATGGTGATACGTCCTTAAATAACTTTAGCTGTTGATAGGAAGTTAAACAAAATAAAACCAAAACGTCTTTACATGATCTCCGCAGCTAAAATTCACTAAACACTTTATATTTACATCCAAACCAAAAAATCAATAACAATATATCTTCCATTGACCTGTTAATTACTGCTCATAAGACAAATTAAGAAATCGACTACAAAGACAATATCGCTAATGAGTTTTTCTAATTGTAATGGGTGGGAAAAAGGAGCATAACTAAAGCTTCATCTATGAGCTTAATTGGTGATTCCTGAACATGGTACCGGCGCGAGAGCCGAAAGTGATAAAACCACAAGAAGAATACGTTAACGGAAACATTTAGGATGACCAATTCGCGTCGGTAAAGTTAACGCTTGTTCGTCCAATATTGTGCTACATTAAAAGTGTGTTTTCTTCAGGATATTTTTCTAATTTATGCATGATTGCCTGTTGACTTGCAACAGATGGTAAGACGAACGTAGATTTTTGTTTGTGTACGGATTTTCCCACTCTTAAAAGCTAAGGCTTTATATAGACGGATGTTTGGGGAGACGAAGTAAATAGAATTGTAAATAAGTAGAAATGAAGAAAAGAGGTCCGAGGTATTGTAAGGGGGTGGGGTTTAGCAGATTAATGTTGTTCTCCCAACTGTCCCCTAAACAGAAAACTCCTGTATTTGGGGTGATCACTCGTTCGTTGCCTTTTATACTCCCACGATACAGCAGGTCTTATTCTTTCCCTTTACATGTAGGTTTACATTATAGCAGATTGTACATGTATGAATGTAGACAAATTTAAGCTAGTGTCTGGTTGATGTGGCTTTCAAAATTTCTTACGTTTTGTGAAGTTGTCGATGATAAAAAGAAAAAGCTAGGAAGTCTGGAATTTATTCGATGTTTGGTGCGATAGCCAGGAGAAACGGGTTCTCTGACCAGTTTGTTTCACAGAAGGGTTTTTGGCCTTCAAGTATTTATTCTCACATGTTCTTAAAATTACCTCTTCCTAATTACTTGCATCACCAGTGAAACTATATCCTTATAATTCACAGTGAGTGTATTTAAGTTAACGAAGCTCCACACTATTTTATCACACGTGCACGAATGCTATCAACGTTATATGATTAATTTCAAAGAGCAGTTTTCAACAATGAATAAGGATTGGATTACTTTAGAACATCATTGTCAACAATTCAGCTCGATTTTTAAACGTAAAGTAAACAAAGGAAAGTAATTAGTTCTTTCATGGTATTTAAAAAAATATTATTTCAAAATATTGAAACCAGTGACGTAACATGTTTACTAAAAGAGTTTCAAGCATTGAAGCGGATATAGGGGCTGAACCGCAGTCGCTTGGTTACTGAAAATACTTGGACAGACCTCGGGGCCTGAAAACATTATAAGGTATATTACTTGTTTTTCCTCTTCCGTTTTAAACTGAGGGAATATATTTTACGTTCCGTATGTTTTACAGATGTCGTCTTAAAGCAAAATAAAAGCCTCACGCTGAGAAAGTAGACGTTGGTTGCCTTGTTAGTACTTCAGATGATTCGGGTATAATGTGATGGCCCTGCTGTCTGATTGATACTGTTTGTTGATTAAATGTTATTGTAACTGTATCAGACATCCCTTCCTCTGTCCGTCGGTCGTTTAGAGTGGACAATATTGTCGGATATGGGGACTTCCGGCATTTATCGGAATTCAACGATTTTTCTTATCGGGAATGGAACAAAAACAGTGGCGCTAATAGACGAATGTGTGATTAATTATATCTGACACGAACAAGTATGGATTTTTATAAAAATCACCAGAGAAGGGAACGTTTGATAACTTGGTGTTTTTTTTGGCATTTTGATTAACATCTAATCAACATCTATTGTCGTTTATGAATAGGACGACCGCATTATAGTACAAGGAAGTGCAACTTAAATATAAAGGGTATTTAAATATTTCCTAATATCCTTAAATGTGATTTAGTCTAAATTGTAATGCAAACATGTGACAAATGTTTAAATTCATTGTAGGGGTCAGAGTCTATGGAATACATCGATGTCTTTTGCAAATGTCCAAATAATACTTTTTAGCCTAAAGAATTGAAAGAAACTTTCATATCTGGAACTTGGAGTGGTCGGACTTTCTGTGAAACATCACATAATTTGAAAGAAGAAATATGTTATTTCAAAACTCTATTCCGGGGAAAATTTCGTCGCAGTTTAACTTTCGCCTTTTTCGTCCTACGTAAGAAGGGCGAATTTATCATTACAATATTTTACGTATTATACAAAGTGACTAAATGTGAGGGCAAAATTAACACTGCATAGTTGTGTTTTGACAGGTAAAGGGCGTAAGTTTGGTCCTGGTGAACATTGTCCTCGAGAAACAATGTATACCGTTTAGATTTTGCCGCGGTTTAACTTTCGCCCTCCGTAACGAGGACAACTTTATCATTACAATAATACACATACTCTACAAAGTTATTAAATTTGTTTTGACATGTAAAGGGCGTAAATTTTACTTGGTGAAAGTTGTCCACATAGTTGAAATATAGTATGCATAAATAAGTAACAAAATATGTACATTGAACTTAAAACTTTACAGAAACAGAAAAAAATGTTAGATTAAATGATCATCCAATATCTGAGCTTAATCCCCTAGACTGCGAAATCCGCATCATGGTGATATGATCTGTAAGAGCTAAACACACGTATACCAAAAGGCAACACGTCTAAACCATAACTGGAATGATAAATAAAGATTTAGAATCTTAAATGACATGTTTTGATCTCCATCATTTCCATGTCCTTCATCATTAAAATAAACTCATTTAACCTATGTATACATTGTAACAATAACCACCAATACTAGTTCATGTTAGTGTCTAATAAACTTGTAAAGTCTGTGATAAACTACTAGCATGTATTATTGTCACAGACGGCTGTTGTCGTGTAATTTTGTTATAGAAATACATTGTTTACACCCACTGTTGATCATACAGTTAAAAACGATGTGTTGGACATGATTTGCTACTCGGCACAACAGCGGAAGCCGTAATGAGATGTCCATGTGGATTCAGATTGTCACTGAAATGACTCCCGCCCACCATTCGCCTCCGATCGATGATCCCGCACGCCTTTGTTACTGGAAATCCACACGCCAATGTTTGCCAATAATGTCAATACCCAACTCTCGTTATTCAACATCGGTGCCGAGACTTCACCTGGGTAACAAAACAAACGCTTGCATGATTACGAATTTGGAAGGTACCGCTTAAAGAGTGTGCAATACCTCGATCTAGGATAATATAGCACAGGATTTTCGATAGATCTCGATGGATTTATAAGGATATTGGCACCAGTGGGTAAGTGTGGCATTACAATTATTGCAGGACTGTATTTAAGCTAGATGCTGCAGAAGTAATGTATCGGCGACAGACATCTATCGACCGGTGAACCGATCAATACCTGGTACTATTGGAAGTATATTCTCCCCGCTGCTGGGGACGAGATCAGGGTGATTGGCCACAGTGATAATGTAGTATCAAATAGCATGTCCTCCTCTCTTGTGAAACTCTACTTTCATTAATGAAGATTGTTCCCTAGGTCTGTCATCCACACTGATAATTCTGGAGTAATGCAGAACCTCCATTGTCGGGTCTCAATACACTAGGTTTATATTGTACGTGACACGAGTATGATGTATACGTTAATATTTGATTAATTACAAGACATGCGTATGTCTGATATTTCATTACCATATTTATTACACCCCAGAACACATAACCATATTTCCCATATCTCTTTACATTTACATTTACTTTGATGTTTCTACTGCGACACGTCCTATTATACGTCACAACCTTTTTTCTGGACGGATCGGACGTTTAAATCGACCGTTACAATGTCAATACACATTATAGGGGGGGGGG